CATAGTTAATTATTTTAGGCTTTTAAAAAAATATTAGATCTTAAGCACACAGAAGATAGCCAAAGCGTGTTCCTAACCAGGCACCGCCATAAAAAGTATATATCATTTACTATAAGGCTTGGCCACAAAAAGTATCTATCATTTACTAGGCTTGGCCATAAAAAGTATCTATCATTTACTAGGCTTGGCCACAAAAAGTATCTATCATTTACTAGGCTTCGCCACAAAATGTATCTATCATTAAAAATTACTAGGCTTGGCCACAAAAAGTATCTATCATTTAATAGGCACCGCTACAAAAAATATCTATCATTTACTAGGCACCGCTACAAAAAGTATCCATCATTTATTAAGCACCGCTACAAAAAGTATCTATCATTTATTAGGCACCGCTACAAAAGTATCTATCATTTACGAGGCACCGCTACAAAAAGTATATATCATTTACTAAGCTTTGGCCACAAAAAGTATCTATCATTAAAAATTACTAGGCTTGGCCACAAAAAGTATCTATCATTAAAAATTACTAGGCTTGGCCACAAAAAGTATCTATCATTAAAAATTACTAGGCTTGGCCACAAAAAGTATCTATCATTAAAAATTACTAGGCTTGGCCACAAAAAGTATCTATCATTAAAAATTACTAGGCTTGGCCACAAAAAGTATCTATCATTAAAAATTACTAGGCTTGGCCACAAAAAGTATCTATCATTTAATAGGCACCGCTACAAAAAGCATCTATCATTTATCACAACCCTAATCTGCCCATAATAATATAAACATTGACCACAACCTGTCCCTTACCAAACACCACCTCCACAACCTGACTCGTACCAAACACCACATCTACAACCTGTCCTTTTCCAAAAACCACCTCCACAACCTGCCCTTTACCAAGCACCACCTCTACAACCTGTCCCTTACCAAACACCACCTGTACAACCTGTCCCTTACCAAACACCACCTGAACAGCCTGTCCCTTACCAAGCACCACCTCTACAACCTTTCCACGGTTATGCCAGGTTTAAATATTTTATGTTACGTACAACCCTATAATCTGTGCCTGCTGCTTCAAGTTGGGAGCTTTCTTTTTATCACGACTACCTGTAACGGAAACTGTCTGTGTTTAGACAATGTTTTTAACCGAGTGAAAGATTTCTGTTTGGTTAGCGAATCGCAATCAGACCCGAAGAGACACAGAAGAACATTTTTATGCCAAGGTCTATACGCTCTAGGTCAGGTTCATGATGATGGGGGCAGCCATGTTTGTGTTAGCTACCTGGGAGCTTGAAGCGTAAAAAAAAAAAAAAAAAAAAATGGCTGCAGTTGTCGGGAAATGTTATGACGCGCTCTGTGTGTTTTATATGTATGAATGTATGTTTGAATGTATGTTTGAATACATGTTTGAATGTATGTTTGAATGTATGTTTGAGTGTATTTTTGAATGTATTTTTGAATGTATTTTTAAATGTATATTTGAATGTATGTTTGAACTGCCTTAATTAGTATTCGATATTATTTGATAATGCTTATCTTTGCGACTAAATGTCAGTATTAGAGTCGTGGGGTTTGGGAGGGGAGGGGGGGCAGGGTAGGAGTAAAAAAAATATATTCTTGGCTGCCTTAGACTCAATCATGTAATTCAGTGATTCTTAATGGGTGCGCAATGGGGCGCCGCGAATATATCCCAGGGGCACTGCGAATATATCACAGGGGCACCGCGAATATATCCCAGGGGCACCGCGAATATATCCCAGGGGCGCCTCAAAATGATCGTACACGTTCATGATTGTATTCTCATCGTCAAATCATTGAGATAGGACTCGACATCCAGCCACTCAGTAATCACTCATTACAGAAGCCTAATCAAATGGCTACAAGGATGCGCTTGGGGATCTAAAATGCGCCTTGTATTTGTATTTATATTTTACCTAACTATTTAATGAAATGTGGGTGGGGGGGGGGATAAGTTTTTTTCGCAGTAAACTTGTTAGGATTTTTGGAAAAGGGGGGCACGGGAAAACCGATACCCTGTTAGGGCGCCGAGAGTCAAAGTGTATAGAAGACGCTAAAGCAGCGTAACAGCCGCAGATTACATGAGTATGAAACTAGAGACCGACCGAAAGTGATTTTCTGATTTCGCCGAAGCCGAAAATAGGCCGAAAGTTTAAAATGACTTTCGGCCGAAACCGAAAAAAGGCCGAATATTAAAAATGAATTTCGGCCGAAACCGAAGCCGAAGCCGAAACCGAAAATGTAATATTAAGTTATTTTGAAATTCGATCTCGCATACAGCTGCATACATCGAAAATGATGAGGGAAAGTATAAATATTTACATTCTTTTTATAAAAAATGAGATAATCGTGAATATTAATAAATAAACATCTAAAATAGGGGTCTCAAACTCGCGGCCCGCAAGCCATTTGTGACCCGCAAGACGATATTTTTCGGCCCGCTACATGACGGAAAAGTTTAGTGTGAATGTGCCGGCCCGTTTCCCTCATTCTCATATCTATAACGTGATTCTCCGCGACGGTTTCAGTCGAATCACACCGACTGTCTAATTCTGATTATTTTTTATATATTTTTGTATGCAACAGTGAGTAGGCGGATGAAAGTGAATCCTAGTTCTTGAGAACCCTTAATGATTTTATTGTTATTTATAAAGGTTGAGCAGATTGTAACAGTTG